CCCAGCCGCTAGCATGAACTACAGATCCCAACATGCCTCTGGGAGTCATGCCTGTGACTGTCAGTCTTGCAACGCCTCACGGGACTTGTAGTTCCACAACAGCTGGAGGCCAAGAGTTGCCCACCCCTGGTTTAATTTCTTTAATATTGTTTTCAGCCTTTTTAAATCTCCAGCTTTCATTTAAAGAATACCTGGCCATCCTACCATAGAGGTCCTTGTTCAGGCACTTCCTGTTATGGGGTGACAACTTTGTGCTCCAGCGTTGTCACCCTGTCACATACACCCCTGGTGGAGGCTACAAGAGGTCATGCCAAGCCAACACATGCGTAGTTTACTATTGGCACTATCAGTAAATCATCCAAACAATGTGCAGTCAACGCTGGAGAAGCTGGCTGAAGGCTGGAGCAGATCATCAGCACTGCGGACACTATGTTATGGAAAAAGCATGGTGATTGTTTATGATACACGGTGCTTTAGCACTAAATGTCATCAAGTTCGGCTTTAGATCTACTTTAGTTTCCTTGGCAGCATCCAGCCGTCCATGTCTCCCCGCCTGCACATCTTGTTTGTCTGCAGGTGAGGTCACCAGCACAATGCTTCCTGAGAGGAGCTCCAGTGGCAGGCTTTGATGTCCTGTTTTGGCCTAAACGGCATCATTTGTGTTTAGCTTTTAGCAAATGAAAGCTGAAGTGTATATTATGACTGAGGTTACTTGTGGAACTGTATGTAATTCCTTCCAAATCAGTGGAGACGGTTTTAATATTTCAAACGCGGCTTGCAACAAGAAAGACTGACATGCCCTACAGCTAGGGTTGCACCGTTTCTTCAAGTGAAACCCGAACACTCTAGCGCCGCGCGCGGCAATTTTTTTTTTTTTTTTTTGGGGGGGGGGGGGGGGGGGGGAGGATGGGCTGTGTGCACTATTGGGTGGGCTATGCGGCTCTTAGGTGTGCTTTGCGGCTCTCAGGTGGGCTGTGTGCACTCTTAGGTGGGCTCTCAGGTGGGCTGTGTGCACTCTTAGGTGGGCTATGTGGCTCTCAGGT